GTTAGTAGCATTGTAAGCAGTGTGATACCGCTACAGTTATTACCCAGTTTATAATTTTGATAAATATAACTTTTGCCGGTTAGTAGCATTGTAAGCAGTGTGATACCGCTACAGTTATTACCCAGTTTATAATTTTGATAAATATAACTTTTGCCGGTTAGTAGCATTGTAAGCAGTGTGATACCGCTACAGTTATTACCCAGTTTATAATTTTGATAAATATAACTTTTGCCGGCTAGTAGCATTGTAAGCAGTGTGATACCGCTTGTGTTGCCACTATATATAAAAAGACAAAACAAAACAATCAAGGTGTTATGACGGTAGGCTATAGGTAATCTGCTTTTTCTTTTTTAAGTGTCTCAGATCGCTTCGACTCAGATCGCAAAACAATGTTAGTTTTGAGTATTAAACATCTTACCCTATTTCCGCGACGACACTAACTCTTTAAGTGTTGAAGAAGTCTTAAAATCATAGATCAGGTGAAAAACAAAACATGGTTTCTGTTGCTCGACACAGAACCAGTTTTGAAGTTTCACTTCAGAAATATTTTTCCAAAGTCAAGAAATCGGACAACTTCAGAAAGAAATGTAAACAATTCCCTGATTCTTAAATCATGAATCCCAGCTCAGTTTCGAAGGAAGCAATCAAGTAAACTGCTTTCGTTTAACAAATAGATGCTTATATACTTTTCTTCTTTCGCTTTTGCATGAATATTCTCCTCTTTCCTTTTCGGAACAAACACAGTTTTTATTCAATTTCACGATCTCAATCAAATGTGAATCCTAAAACACAGTTCAAAATTGAAATGTTTCCTCACGTAGGCGCCTTGTTTGCTCTCTTAATTAAACACTGATTTCAGCGTATCAAGTGACTAGGACCTAAATCTCTATAATACGCCCTTGCCTTTTTTTGCTTCTCTTAGGTGATAGTAATGGAGAATTCCTCCCTCTTTAATTCTAAAATGTAAATAGGAAATCGGAAATAACAATGAAAAAAAAAAATAAAGAAAAAAACCCCAACAAAACACATAACTCTTAACGATATGAACTTTCCGAAAGTTTTGTCGCTTGGAAACCGATTTTCTCCCTGAAACTACGAGCTTTATAAATTCTTGCTATGATGCAAGTCACATGAACAGGTTGCTAAGTTTGGAGCAAAAAAAACCATCTTAGAAAGAGAACTGTTTGAAAGTCATCCACCACGAGTTTCCGAAATCGTAAGAATTTAGGCTTTTTACGCATGCAAGAGTTATTTATTTTGGCTGGATGGGTTAAGTTGGGACACTGGTCACTGTGTAGCTGTCACATTTCAGTACTTTAAGATAAAGAAAAAAACCTTCCAATTTTTCTGAAATAAACTCAAACACAGGTCTCCTTTGCAGCCATTGTATGGTCTTATCACGCAACCCGCCTCTCTCTCCCACTGCAAAGGAGAGCAGGTTGCGTGACGTGTCTCACCCATCGGAAAGGAGAGCACGTTGCGTGACGAGACCACGGAGCCGTTGCGAAGGAGACTTCGCTTACTCTCGTTTCACTGTTTGAGAGAAAATCAAGAATGTTCGTTTACATGTAGTTGCCTGAGTATATCGTTCCACGTAATTTTATCACGGAATGGAAACCGACACCCTCCAAGTTTAGCCATCCATGTTCGTGTTCGGTTTATTCTAACCTCGTTAGTGTTGGTCTGCTTTGTAAAGCAAATATCATCTTTTTTAAGAACATTCTCTTCCTATTAAGGAAAACAAATATAGAGAAAAACATTCTTGAGTGCGTGACACACTTTCTTAAGTAACGCAACTTGGTGGCTGTCTTCTTGAACGAGTTTATGTCGTGAAGTGGTGTCTTTTTGGCTGCGTTGTAAGACCGCTGTAAATGGCCTGACGGTTTCAAGAAGTTCATCGCACATCCTGAACCAGATTGAAGGTCGATTTCTCACCCGCCTTCCCGGGGACTTTCTGTAAAGTCAAGTAATCAATAAGTTGTTAGATAGGGGGAGCCCTTTATCTCAGCGCCTCAGGGGTAGACTAAGGTTCGCCACAAGTTCGTAACCATAAAATAGACATCTGATGATTTAAATTCTAACTTTGGCTGCTTCACTTTACACAGCAACAAAGAGATTAACGTTAGCATCGTGGTACGTACGATATTAAATTGTTAATGTGCTGATGTGTTTGTGCGACATATCAATATCAATTTTATGATACATATCAGTTTCACCCCTTTATAACCGGAGCTGCTCTTAGACAGACCATTCCTATATTGATTCATAAACTGATACGTCATTAATTGCCGTAGAAGGACGTCGTTGTGAATAAATTCCCTCTATTTTAATTAAAACATTTTTCACAGGGGGGGAGGGAAGGTTAATGGATATTTATGCAAATTCTATGCAATCTCCAGAAATAATTTGAAGAATACTAGCATCAGATGTTAACCTCTCCCAGTTATGACAAAAGGAAGACAACTGTCCTCCTTTAAAGGAATTTACCTTAGCTCTAAAATAAGGGATGGGGTGAGAGATCACCAAAGGGGAGAACTCATTTACCTTGGAATTGATGTTGTTCAATTCTTGGTGAATTTCTTCTTGTGTTGGAAACGGTTTTGCTGTTGGTTTGACTTGGGGGGGATATGAGGTCCCCCCCTCTGTTCACCAAAAAAGGTTTATCGTGATTTCCATGGAAATGGTTTCCTCTGAATTGGCTGTTACTGTGATTCTTTGATTTGTTTGCTCCCTTTCTGTTATCAACAGTTATGGGGGTCATTAACTTATTAGTTGTCTTAAGCTCCTGTACTTTTTTTGGGAAGATCCTCATCAAGTAAGAACTTTCCAGGCTTGAGAGTTCTTGAACAAGCCTGTTTGAACTCTTGGTTGAGGTAAGGTCGTATTGCATCTTTTCGTTTAAAAGAAAGTTCCTTGTGCACATGACCAATCAAGGCAACAGAATCAGTCAGCCTGGGAATAAGAGTTTTATAGTCAGGGGACGTCTTTCACAGTGACAATAATAGCACTCAACACCTTCGCTAAAGTGTCCTGTAACTCTGATGTCTGACCTCTTAGAGTTTGCATGAAGTTTGGTCCAAATCTCCGAGTTAACTTTAGACACAAACAACTCTTTAGAATTACTTGGTACTTTGTACTTCTGTAGTATCTCTTTACGTTTTTCAACAGTGTATTCAGTCTGAAACTTGTCGTTAACAAGTTTCGAGGGTTTATCGGACACTGGCGGTCCTTTATCGTCGGATGAGCTTAATGAGGTGGTAATTTGGGACAATAAGTCATCATTGTTTACCTCCTCATCTTCTGAACAAAAATCATGTTGGCTGTCATCACCCAATATACTGAGCGTATCATCATCTGGAGTCTTCGTGTTTGCTTCCTCTGAAGCAGAATCGCTTGCTTCTTCTGAAGCGCTATCTGTTACTTCTTTTGAAGTAGACGTAAGTGCTTTCTCTGAAGCATTGACGGAGCGAAGTGATTTACTTGCACCACGCTTTGCTCGTTTAGAAATTGAATCCGTCTCAGTTGACTTACGTTTTTTCGCTACTAGGTCGCGAAGCATAGAATTTGAGGAAGTTAGGTTCTCCTGCATAGCACTTAGAACCGATAGAAGACTTTTAGAGACTAACGGAAGGACA